AGCACAAATAAAGGATACCCGGCCCTTACCAGAGTCCCACTAAAGCTTTATATTAACAAACATTGCTACATAGTTGCCAAGAAACCAGGTCATAACAATGTAAAAAAATAAATGCAGAGCTCCACAAAATAGTTTTGCTGGGCCAGTGGCCTGGCCCCATCGCTGCTGGCCTTACCACTTTGTAAACGCACGGCTAAGGGTTTGGCCTTGGGAAGGCCTCTTGAGATATCTCTTTCTCTATATATATATATACATGGGGAGAAGTCTGGCTCATCCTTCTCAAACTATTCAAACTTTTGGCCTTCACCACGGCCACAGCCAGCAAGTTCCACAAGGAATTTACGCCCACGTGAACCAGGCCTTCAGTATGTTCGTGTAGAACCTGCTGCCTGATTTCTGACCATATACCGTCTGCAATGGGCTTCCATGGATTTGGACAAGCCAGCAAACCTCTCTATACCAGCACGTGTAGAAAAAAAAAAATCAGGGATCTGTGCCCTGGATCAGGGTGGTTGGAGGCGTAAGGCCCATGAGACCTTCCTATGGTAGAAGTTACTGGATGCACTCAGATTCCTGGACGGGGGAGAGCAGGTCAACACGGCACACAGAGCAGCTGCTGGGACACACGAAGCTCAATACCAGGATGTTAATGTGGGTGAAGAGATTAAATCTCAGGACAGCTGACCTGCAGAAAACTATTCCTCCTACCATCAGGGCTACAGAGCACACACGACTTTGATGCCTAGTATTCTCCTTGGCTCCAGTACTCCCAGCCCTGACACCTTACTCCCTCCAGAAGAGAGCTGTATGACAACGCTGCACGGTGGCCCGAGTCAAACCCCGCTGAGGGCTTTCAGTGCAGCTTCCCATCCACTCCCGTGGAGTCTTTTTCATTTGGAAAGCGCCTAGTACACACCCTGCGGGTCCCCCCCACAACAGGTACTTCCATAATTCCTCCTGCCTCTCAGACTGTGTAGGAGCCACTACCGCAAAACCTACTTCAGCCACTATTACTACAGCCCAAACTCAGCCCTGGTTGCCTATTGCTCTTCCTTGGAAGTGGGAGACCTCCTGCCAGTAAAGGAGCATAATAAGCGGGCTACCAGGCTTGGCCAAATCCCTAGTGATGAGGAGAGAGATTCTCCAGTCCAGACGGCTCTGTGTATTGCTGCTCCAGCCCTCAGACCCCCCCATTATGAGAACAGAGAGTGACAACTGCCTGCTCCTATAAGAGGGTCAGGGCTGGGAGTGGGAAAGGGAGAGCAGAGTGCCCAAGAATCCCTGGCAGAGCAAGAGGGTAAGAGCCCGGCCGGGTGGGGGGGTCGGGTTTCCAGGCAGTCACCCTGCTATCTTTGACAGCTGCTGGAACACAGAGTCCTGTCCGATTTGTGTCAGGTGATGGTGACAGGCACCAGCAAACCCTTCCCAACTCCCCTCTCCCAGGACCCTTAGGACTGCTTAAGACTATGTTGCTCTTCCAACTCGTCTGTGGGATCCTGCCCTACCGAGATTTGTGTTTATCCCCAACTACCACCGCCGTAGCTTCACCACAGCAAGCAGGTTTGCAGTGGCAGCATTTTCCAGGAGGACATCTATCCAGTTTTTCTTTCCCTCTAATACAACTTCGAGAGAAAAGGAATCTCTGGATGTAGTTCCTTCTGCCACTCTCAATCTAGATTTATCTATTATGCAAATGTTGTCATAGATGCCTGGATTCTTTGTGCTTACAAGGAACAGCAGCAAATAAGACTGAATTCTGAAACCCTCCTAGGACAGGGTGTCTTCCTGTATTGTGTTTGCATATGGTGCTTAATGCTATAGTGCCCAGACTCCCAAATGGGGCTTTATGCTGCTAGTATAAAACAGGTATTCATAAACGCAGACTATCATTAGAGATCCTAAAATGACTGATGTTAAGTCCAGATGCCAAACTCAGGCTTGATACAAATGGAACTGTGGAAGACTGATTAGAGGTGAATTTTGTCCTTCACACCCTGTTTCAAATCTTACTGTAGGATTTACATTTCACTCACGTACATCCCATAACCCCTTAAGTTTTCAAAAGGCTTTTACATTCTTCTTGTGCTAAGTCATTGTGTAATGATGCTGCAGGCTGCTCAGTCAGGTATACTGCTTCTCCCAGTGGTGGATGCATTTCAGCAGTATATGAAGCAATTCCTGCCTGTGCAGCTGCTGAATATGCAGCAAAACCTTCAGAACATGGGAGGACACAATCACATAGCAAGTCTGGAACCTAAGCTGAAAGCAGCAAAATACTCACCGCTCTATTAATGTGCTTCTTGATGAGGATGTAGAGCACTGGCAAAGTCACATAGGCCAGTATCTCCCAAACTTTCCCCGTTAACAACATCCACAAGACCCGATCCTCTGCATCCAAGTTGACCCAACACCAGCCCACAGAAACATTGGAGGCGTCATAGCCAATCTTCTTCAGAGCAACAGCAGCCACCGTAATGCCAAGGGGGACTCCCCAGCTAAGGAAAGAACATGAAGAGCGAGGTTAAGCCAAGAGCATGCTCAGTTTAGTCCCTCCACACCCCAGGGAAAACGGGTGACAGACCAGGGGATTCTTCATCAGACAGGATGCCAATACCTATTCCAGAACGTCGACGCTCCTGCATCAGGCCTAAGGGGAGCGACTGACAAACAGGTATTTGACAGCCTATGAATGTGGACTGCAAATCCACTTCCTAGGGACCCACTCGAGGAACTCGGATCCCCGGTCCTGAAGGACAGATGCATAATGATGTGCTACACTCTAAACCGGAACCTGGCCCGCACAGCAAGCGGTCAGGGTCCAGCGAGGTGAACAGAAGACATCCCACCTACTCCCCTTCTCCCATTCTCTCCTGGATACAGGTGAGGTCGAGGATTTGTCAAGGCCAGAGCGTTGTACAGTGCGACTGTCCTGTAGGACCCAGCCATTCGAGAGCAAAAGCTGGCTGATACGCAGCTTTCAGAACGCAAGCAACCAAATCCCACATTCCAATTCCTAAGTGACACTTGGCACAAAGGACCAGCACACAAAGAAATCCACAATTTTATTCCATCAGTGGGGCTTTTTTGTTTGGTTTTTAAATGGAGGTGTAGTCAATATTTTGGGAGCAAAAGGATAATTTCTGAAGGACAAAGTGCAAGTTTCTTCCCAAGGAAAAGCACTGGCAGTAACAGCAAAAAGCTAAGAAAGCAAAGAGGAGTCATATTCACATAATTTGGAGCTGTGTTTTGACTTTGGCTTCTCTCTTGACAGCAGAGGCAAATACAGGGAAGCATTTAGAAGAAAAATAACTGTGGTGACACACATGAATGAAGTCACTTGGCAGCTTGGGCTGCCCACAAAAAAGCCACGAGCAAGAACTGGAAAATTCCATGAGCCCAAATGTAAAAATACTCAGCCCCTTCCTGGGTGCTGTTAATACCCAGGACTTTACAGGCCTGCCTTAGCCTGCGATGTACAACTCAAATTACTCCACAACTGAAATCCTGCCTTGCATTCAACTGGACGCATCACCTGCCCTTCCCATATTCATCCTCAGAGAAAGGTTCTGTGGAGCCTTAAGAGGGACAAGGGACACTTCCTCAATAGATGACACAAATGCTTCAGAGAGCACTCAGACTGAGCTTCCAGCATAACCCTCCTGGTCTCTCCAGACGCAAAGAAAACAAAGCCATTACTGTACTGCTCATTACCTGCCCGGTTCACACTCATCTTTCACGGACAGCCTGGAGCAGCTGCAGGGAACACGAAAAGGATCTTCCTCCTAAAATCTGTTTCACATGCATCAGACTACGTAGGCAACCAGCAGTTGCCTAGACCAGATTAGCTGAAATTCCACAGCCCAACTGAAAAATCAGAGATAATCCCATGATATCAGATCTCAAAAATACCCCATTTCCTACTCTTAAATAACGTCTGGGTTCACTTACTCACAACGCAAAAGTAAATATAATGCTGTAAAAAATTCAGAGTCAACCTTTTAGCATGTCTAGAACATTTTGTTTCAATGTTCAGCTCAGAACAGCCAGTGCTAATCCCAGCCAGTGTTGTTACTTAAGGACAGTTCTGCTGCAGGAAGCCCTCCCCGTGCTATTATCAGAGCAGGCTTTCTAAAAACATTCCAAACATCGCCACCACCATGAAAGTTTCTACAGAACTCAAGACTCATTTTGGTAAAAAACAGTGATTTGCCTGAAAACAAGGGTTACAGATGCAAAGACATTCACATTTCAGTACACTTGGAAGAGCAGACCACTAAGATAAAGAATTCGAAAGAACTGGCGCTTCCTTAAAGAAACCATACTGAGGCACACAAACACAAGTGAGTCCAGCACCAAGAAAAAGGAAGCGTATTAAAAAACTAATTTGCCTAAATAATGATCTCCACAGTGACCTGAAACTGAAAGAGAATTACATGAGAAGATAAAACCAGGTCAAATTACTAGGCACGGATATAAAAGAGAACAGCATAAGTATGTACAGACACAGTGAGAGAGGCCACAGTAGGAAATAACAGACCACTAGGCAAGGGACTTTAAAAAAATCTTCAAGTATCTAACTAGGAAAAGGAAGAATGTGGAAGAAAACTGTCACACATCAGGCAGTAAATTTTTACTCAAATAGTGTATTGGGATCAGATGGCTATTACAACTAACACCAGGGACAAAGGATTACGAACTCAAAGTGAAGTTAGAAAGAATCTCGAAAGTCAACAGACATTTCAGTGAACTTCTTCAGCTCTGTTTCAGAAAACTGGAAAGGAGAACCGAGACTAGTGATTTGATTGTTCTTAAGAACCCTAAATGACAGAATCCCAAGAACTGGGAAATATCTAGAAGAATGGGGGAACAGAAGAATCACAGTATTATACACCCAAGGCATATGTAAAGACTGGAATAAAAAGGATCCAAGATAACAAAGAGGCAGAAATTTTACTCTGAGCCCCAAAGACAGTGCAATTATGTAGGATGGACCTCTCAAAAGCACACTTGGATGTAAATGCAATCAGTGTGGGAGAGAAGGGAAGGAAGGCTACTCCTTGCACCTCTGTAAGAAGGCTGGCAATCCCATCTCTAAGGCAGATACAACAGTACTTCCCTAATACAGCCCCCAGCAACCTATTAATAAAAATACATACAACCCAGCATATCTTTCCACATTTAACACCAATGCTGCATTTAATCAAGGTAGGACAAGGACCCTTAAACTATAGCAGCATACTGCTGTGTTGGTTTTCTTGTCCTCAGTATGCCTAGGTCAGATTGCTTAATACCACATTTTGATTTATGCTGCGCAGCTGCTTTTTTTTTTCCCCAGAGGCTCCTACAAGCAGGGAAGACTTGCAGTCACCTGCCTGCACAGGTTAGACGACAAGCCATCCCACCAGCAAGCCTGCAGGTGATCCCTTCTGGGGACAGGGATTTTTACTCTGTAAGAAAGGAAAAATCAGTCTTCCAGATATACCAGCCAATTTCAGGAAAGAGCTTTGAGCATACATTGTAAACAGAACTCCAGACCAAATCTGCTCCAATTTCATTTTTGCCTTTTTTTTTCCTTCCCCACTCAAACATTAAACTGAGTTTGCAGTACCAAAGCACCAACTTTCTGGTACCAAGCGCAGACTCCTCCCAGTGAAGCATGCAAGAATTCAAAAGCTAAGGCACCAGCAGTCGGGTAGCTTGCAGTTTGGTTGGCCTGATCTACAAGCCTTTATAAACTAAATGATAAAGCCACAGCAAATTTCAAGAGATCCCTGCACCTTACAGGCAACACTCGGGGACTGAAGTCCAGTTCTGAAGTTTAGCACTGGCACAGTCGTGCCTGAGGCAGTCCGTTGGGGACTCAGATGTACAGGACAGCAGCACATGAAAGGATCCCCAGGTACTCCATGGACGTGCATGCATATATACATATACACGCATGGTTATAAACATATGTATAAGCACACACACATAATTTTATATACAAAAAAGCATACAGATGCTTATAACCACCTGCAGAGCCTACTGCGGATATGCAAATACTTCAAAAGTTGACAGCAATTGCTACCAAAAGCAAGGCGGGAAACAAACCCAAGGTGGGTTCTGGTCCACTCCTCACCCCGAGTTTGGATCAACTACTCTCACAGCAGAGACGACATGACCCAACTAAATGATACTTGATATTTAGAAACCCAGAACAAGTGAGGTAGCCTGGAAATTTACACTCTGGATGCCAGAACTTACACCTTACAACTACATAAATATTTTCAAAGCTAACTGTAAGCTTGTTTTCAAAGCTCATCTGAGCTCAACACAAGTTTAAAACCAAAACAGAGCCTGTACTTCCCTAGTCTAGCAGTAGACCAGGTGGATCTGTTACCACATGAATCAATAAGGAACAAACTTGTTTGACAGGTTTCATCCAGTGTGACATCCTAACTTCCCTAAAAAGAAAATTTCAGTTACTGACTTCCAACATACATTTAGGTCAGCTCTACTCAGCTGAAGAACAGTCAGTCTCTGGTTATACTCAACATTAAAAGAGTATTCATCTTTACAAACACTTGCCCCTTATGAGTAACTGCTTGTGAAGAATAGGAAACATGCATGACAAAACTCCAACCCGCCTTGAATCCCTTCCAGAAGTGTCTCTCAGGACGACTCTTCACACAACAGTCGCTACGTGACTGCGTTAGCAACCTATGAAGCGAGGAGGGGAAACAAAAAATCCCAGGTTCTTGCCTAGACAAAGATACTGGAAACTTATCTTTAAATCTTTAAAACATCACCTGCCCTTTGCCACCTTTCCTTTTGCCCTAGACAGGTCTCCCTCACCTACCTTCTGCAATTAGTGGACGGACTAGTATCTTTTCGTATCAGTCGCAGCAGTTCCTACCTGCGTGGTACCAGAAGATTTTTAGGCTAACAGCACCACAGCCAGTAGGACTTTGAAGCACGGAAAAGTGCGAGGGGGGACCCATCTCCAAGCATTAGGTCCAGAATTTGATTTTGTGATTGAGTTCTCAGGTAATGATAAGAGTGCAGGGAAGGAAAGAAGGAAGATGTGTCACAAGGGGACGGGCAGAGAACAGGTCCTCACTTGTTTTCTCTGGCTTTTCATACAGATCATAAAGCAGGAAGCAGCTTTAAACACTGGCTCTGCACAGAATGGGAGTCATTTACGAAGCAGAACCTGTCAATAGGTGTTTGATGAAAGCTATCTATATTGCCCTTTAAAGAGAGCAAGTAGAGCTTAGAGCTGATCAATACCAAGAACAGAAGATGGCATTTTATTTTTACTGCGAAGACCTGAAAATAAACCTAGCAAATTCCCCAGAGGAAGTTCAGTTTGAGCACTCCCTTCCTCTCCGTCGCAGGGTTAGAGCAATCTTGCAGGATTTTTACAGTTTTAAAAGAGTGCACAGATTACGGCCAACGTTTGTTCAGCGACTCTGCCTGTTTCTGTCCGCACTTCATAGCCGATGAGGCTGAGAAGCATTAAACCAGATGGAGAAGTTAAAGTACAAAGGCCACACGACAAGTGATTAGCAGACAGGAAAATTACAAATAGGCCAGATTTACATCAACTCTTTGATGTAGCCTGACACAGACAGCACGCCCATAAAGAAGTCAGACTCCTTTTTCCTGTTCCTTAAGCAACATGTGGCTCTGCACTGGCACTCCATCCCCTCCGCAGTGCAACTCTCTATTCACGTGAAACGAAATAACCTGACAAACTCCACTGTCTCACTGCATCTTATTTCAACTTCACCAACAATAGCTCGGTGTACCCAGACAGATGTGCAGTCACCTTAGGCTTCCTCACGCGCAAACCTTGCCGCCAAGCAAGAATTAGAACAGGTAGGGCAGGAATTGAAGTTCCTCCCTGATTCACGCCTGGCTTTAATGTCTTCCTCTGGCCCACCTTGACCTGGACTCAACTCTACTTCAATCATCTTCCAAATGATGCTGTTTGAAAATAAAAGGTGACAAATATTGGACTAAGAAACCAAAGAAAATTCAGTACTTGCTCTGATGGCTTTTTTTCTTTTAAGAACTACATCATTCCTCTTATAATTTATTGCAAAAGCTTGGCAGCATGAGGACTAAAGGATCACTGTTTTGCTCAGCATGGAGGTAGCACGTGATTCCACAAGCTCAAATTGCATAATGAAAGCTTTTACTAACACGATGTGGAAAATCAGCTAACTAAACAGCAGAAACTAAGACATAAAGCTACACTGTGGTCTGTTTTGCCTTGCTTTCAAACATGCCAAAACAACCTTCAGAGTGCTTTTCTAGCCGCCTCCTCACTTGTAGACTACATTCTCCTACGAGTATTGAATTACAGCAACCTGCCTGGGGAAAGGGGAAGGATCTACAGACCAGGCTGACACCGGGAAGCCAGGGACCCGTGGAAACAGATCCCAAACACAGGACTTTTGGCAGCAGCAGACAGGTATTGCAAACACAAGTATCGTGATATTACTTCTAGGACATCAGAGCAGGTTGTGGAGGGAAAGCAGAAGCCAGGATTTTCAGTCATTATCTCTTGCCAGGGGTTTTTCTAGGTGACCTTAAGCAAATGATTTTTAACATCTCCATTTCTTCACTTGGGAGGAGGGAAATAAGCAGGGCTGTTTAGTTAAGAGACAGCAAAATCCCTGTTTAAAAGGAACTTTTAAAAGAGAATTAAAAAGGGCACACTATCCTTAAGAAAAGTGCAGGTGACTCGAGCAACGCTTCATCACAGAGCAGAGCATGCCGCACGCAGCGGCGGTGGCTCCTGGCCACAGGCTGGGTGCCTGTGGGGTCCAGCCCCCGTGCTCTCACGGGAACAGGGGGCAGCACCCACCTCACGACATGGAAGCAGCAGAGCAAGCCTGTGCCCGTGGGCGAGCCCCTCACAATGGTGATGTAGAGGTAAAGGGCAATGGCCATGGTCCAGAAGAAGGAGCTGGTGTTGGAGAAGGTGGACAGGGCACCCTGCAGCACGCAGTCCCACGAGGTCCTGTCGAAGTCCTGTAGCACCCCGTAGAAGTAAGAGAGGGCTGAGAGGAGGTCCGCCAGCGACAGGTAGAGCAGGAGCTGGCGGGGACGGGTCCGCAGCTCCGGCCACAGGGCGTGGGTGCAAACCAGGAGGCTGGAACCCAAGAAGGAAAGCACACAGGAGACCAGCACGACGACCCGCTCCGAGGCGTACACCTCCGTGGGGGGCAAAGGCCCGGGCATGCCGGAGACGGAGGCAGGGCACAAGGAGACGGCACCAGCCCCGGGAACAAGCCGGGCAGCAAAGCAGCGGCGGGAGGGAGGGAGGGAGAGAAAGCCGGGAGGGGAGCCCGACACCCAGCTGCGCTCTGGGAGGGAGCGGGACGGGAGGGCTTTGCCGGAGAGCTGGCGGGAGGAA